AAAAAAATACATATGGTTCAGAACGGATTAACCGTATTTACATTGAACCTTATGGGAAAATCTGATTCGGGTCGCAACCAGAGTCACGGAACGAATTAAGTTCATGACCCGAGGTACCACTGTATATAGCCAACATTTCACAAGAGACTTATGAAGCTAAAACTAATGAGACAGAGCGAAATCTTGGAAGATTTGAATGTGAAAACCACGAAAGACTTCTTTTTTATATATATACAGTAATTTTTATTAAAACTTTTAAAAAGGAAGATAAAAACTAATACAAGCTAAGATATAATAAGGAAGAAAAACAAAAAGAAAGAAATCAAAAAGTTTTTTTTCTCTGCAGCCCCTGGCCCATTTTTGAATTTCTCCCATAGTATCTGCCCGACCAGCTTGATCTGGCAGGGTTGGCACATTCCGGGTTCCATTGGTTAAACAATGCACCAGTTGGGGCCCCGGAAGCACGCCTCCTCTGTAGCAGTGCCTGCTCTCTGGAGTGAGGTTCTCTCCAAAATTCATGTGGCTACCACCCGATTTTGAAGGGCCTGAAAGACCTGGTTCTTCGCCCAGGCCTTTGGAGAGGATGATTGATGCCCCTTTCTTTCTTACTGTTCCCTTCTGAGTTTATTTTCCTTGCCATCATTGTTTCTTTGTCTTGTGCTGTTTTTGTATGTTTGTTTTGTTTTTTCTATTGTTCTTTGTTTTTAATTGTTTTAACAGTTGTAAGCCACGCAGAATCATTGGGAGCCAGGCAGCATATAACTTTAATAAATTATTATTTATTTATTCATTCATCGTCTTTATATTGCCACCCATCTCACAAAATGTGACTCTGGGTGGTGCACAATGAAAAATTAAAAAACAATAACATGAAAAAAAATTAATATTACAATTCTGAAAAAAGGCAAGGAGAGAGTGACTGATATTAATGACAGTGGAGCCACCTCAGCAACTCACCATTCCCTTCGGGCCCCCAAGCTTGATGACATCGCCAAGTCTTGAGGGACTTAAGAAAAGTTAACAGGGATGAAGCCAGCTTGACCTCAGGGGGCAAGATGTTCCATAAGGCCGGCACCACAGCAGAAAAGGCCCATCTCCAGGGTCCCACCACATGTAGCTCTTTAGCAGAAAGGACTCACAACATACCTCTTCTTCCAGTCCTGATGGGACCGGAAGATATGATCAGGAAGAAGTGGTCCCTCAAATAACCCAGCCCCATGCCATGAAAGAGCTTTAAAGGTCAAAACCAGCACCTTGAATTGGACCCAGAAGCAAACTGGCAACCAATGCAGCTTGTGCAGCAGAGGTGTAATATGTGCTCTTCTAGGGGTACACGTAACTGCCCTCACCCCTGTATTCTGCACCAGATGAAGCTTCCAGATACTTTTCAAGAGCAACCCATATAGAGTGCATTACAATAGTCCATCCAAGAGATGACAGGGTATGAGTGACCGTGAGCAGAGCCTCCCGATCTAGGAACGTGCATAACTGGTGCACAACCCAAAGCTGTACAAAGGCCCTCCTAGCCACAACTAATTATTATTATTATGGTTGGTCACACAGTCAGTCAGATGTTTAGCCTGGATTTGGCATTTTCATCCACCTATTGAGTCCTTTCCAAGGACCTGGGATAGGCAGATGTTGTTGTTTGGTGGTGTTAAAGGTAAAGGTATCATTGCAGGATCTAAGCTGTTCCAAGTAAAGCTGCCTTTTGCAGTTGACTGATGGTGATTTTGTCAATGCCAATGGTGTTTAAGTGGTGCTTTGCAGGATCTAAGCTGTTCCAAGTAAAGCTGCCTTTTGCAGTTGACTGATGGTGATTTTGTCAATGCCAATGGTGTTTAAGTGGTGCTCCAGATGTTTTGGGATTGCACCTAAGGCGCCTGTAATTATT